CGGTGGCCGAGGGGGTGAGACAGGGTGTGGGGTGACTTAGGGCCCCTCTGGAGGACTGTGACCTCCTGGGCAGGATGTAACCAGGGCTGTTGGGGGAGGTACAGCGTCCTGACGGTCCTGGGAGGCTTGGTCCTTGGGGGTGGGGGTAGGGTGGAGTGGGGCAGGGGACATGCTGTGTGAAGTCCCGCCTAAAAGGCGAGGCCAGTGGTGGAGTCAGGAGAGAGCCCTGGGCATGATTTGTGTTTCTGCACCAGCATCAACCTCCACGCCAACTACAACTACAAGTACAAGCACCACTACAGCCACGACCTCGACCATCACAGCCCAAATTCCACCTGTATCCACAGCCCCGACAGGGAATGCCACCCACAGCAGGAACAGCCAGGATGGCTCCCGGCCGAGCCCGGACCAGGACCACGGGTAAGGCGCCCTCGTCCTGGGGTCCGGGGAGGGGGGACCTTCTCCTCAGGGGAGCGCAGGGCGCCACCTCCTTCCCGGGCGTGTGGCCCTGGGTGTGTGTGTGTTGGGGGGAGGTGGTAGCCAGGATGGCTCCCAGCCGAGCCCGGACCAGGACCACGGGTAAGGCGCCCTCGTCCTGGGAGGGGGAAGGGGGCCTTCTCCTCAGGAGAGCACAGGGCACAACCTCCTTCCCGGGCGTGTGGCCCTGGGTGTGTGATGGGGGGAGGTGGGGGTCACGCCCCTCCTGGGGGGACCTCCGGCTCCCTTTGCGCCAGGCCAGGCCGGGAGCCACAGTCCGTCTCTCCCAGCCGGGCCTGCCGAGCCCACGCTGGGGCTGCCTTGGGGTCTGAGAGAAGCTGTGGGGAGACGCTGGGTGGATGAAGGAAAGTAACGCTGAGTGAGAGCTGATGTTATCGCCCCGCACGGGCGATACCTCCCGTGAGGGCTCTCCGCTGCTCCTCACCATGACCTCGCCATCGCCACTCCCACTGTACAGATGAGCAAACCGAGGCTGGAGAGGTTAAGCGATCTGCCGGGTCCTGTGGCTACAGGCGTCACGCCCCTCCTGGGGGGACCTCCGGCTCCCTTTGCACCAGGCCCAGGCCGGGAGCCACAGTCCGTCTCTCCCAGCCGGGGCTGCCGAGCCCACACTGGGCCTGCCTTGGTGTCTGAGAGAAGCTGTGGGGAGATGCTGGGTGGATGAAGGAAATAACATGAGTGAGAGGCTGATGTTATCGCCCCGCACGGGCGATACCTCCCGTGAGGGCTCTCCGCTGCTCCTCACCATGACCTCGCCATCGCCACTCCCACTGTACAGATGAGCAAACCGAGGCTGGAGAGGTTAAGCGATCTGCCGGGTCCTGTGGCTACAGGCAGGCTGGGCCTCTAGCACAGGCTTCTGGGATTCCGAAGCCTTGGTTCTTCCTTCTAAACTAGTGATTCGTGACCTCTCTGGGGGTCACGCGCCCCAGGAGGATCTGACAACATATGTAGACTTTCCAGAAAATCCAAGCTGTCCTAAACCACTTCCGGGCTCACACACCACCTGGTGCCCCGTGGTTCAGTCCGGCCCTGACACCCGGCGTTGGCACAGACCCCACAGGTCAGGGGCTCAGTCCCATATGACTGCCCGCCTTCAGGTGTCGGGCACTGGGGGGGTCCCCAGGCCATGCACTCTGACCCACTGGCTACAAATGTGGGGGTTCCCATAACCCCTTGCCAGGAGGATCTGACAACATATGTAGACTTTCCAGAAAAATCCAAGCTGTCCTAAACCACTGCCGGGCTTACACACCACCTGGTGCCCTGTGGTTCAGTCCCCGCCCAGACACCCGGCGTTGGCACAGACCCCACAGGTTAGGGGCTCAGTCCCATATGACTGCCCGCCTTCAGGTATCAGGCACTGGGGCGATCCCCAGGCCATCGCACTCTGACCCACTGACTAAAAATGTGGGGGTTCCCTTAACCCCTTGGCTTTGATCATGGGTAGACCGCTGGCAGAATGCCAGAAAGCGCCATACTTATGGCAACAGTTTGACCATCAGGGTAAAGGTGGGGACCAGCCAAATGAAGAGGCACGGAGGGGGAGGTCTGGGAGGGCTCCCAATGCAGGGTTCCCGCCTCCCAGCGGCGTGGACTGCACCCCTCCCGGAACTCGATGTGTTTAAGGACCGGAAGCTCCTCCAAGCTCTGGCTGCGGGTTTTTACTGGGTTTCATCACATAGACCGATTGG